TCTCTCTCTCTCTCTCTCTCTCTCTCTCTCTCTCTCTCTCTCTCTCTCTCTCTCTCTCCCACATCAACATTCCACCCGTGCAGTGTAACGTCCGGTCTGCACGGGGCTCGGGCGGACCCACGGACTCACGGAAGCGACTGTCTGACCCGCCCCGCCCATCGGTATAGCCCGGTCAGCGGCGGCTGCTTCCGGCAGCAATTACAGAGGTGTGGGATCACCGTCAGTGGTGACCCCGCGCCCCGTGTGGGCCGACTAGTCGGTGATTTGCATCACCAATTAGGCGCCCTACGAGCGGGCAAGCCAACATTCGTGCTGCCAAGCACCAACACCGCCGCTACGGCTTGGTTAAAAGCTGGTTGATTTGCTAAGAAAAGGCAAGCAGCAGTGGAAAACTGGAAAATCCGTGAGAAGCTTTTTTCCGACCCACGATGGACGATGAGACAGATCAAGGAGAAACTAGGTTAGCGGTTACAGCTTCCCTTCAAATCCCGTCGGTCTGTTCCATCCGTCCAGAAAAAAATGACGTCAGCCGTCTTAGCGCCAACCGCCAGCCAGTGGCGACTGGCGGTAGATCATCAGAAGACAAACATGCAGCTAGACTGAACCCAAGCAGAAACCAGCGGCCGTGATTCATGTGAGCAGTAAGGTCTTCTCACATCAGACCATGCTGTGTACACGGGAACGGTCGATGACGTGTGCCGGGATTTGTTGATACGACTAAACGATGTTTATTTATCCGCCACAGTTTCACCCTCAGTTGGGATATAAATCCGCTGTTTCGATCACCCTATAAGGCTTTTGTCGGCCGCACGGCGGAGCTCATTCATGGCGTGGAATCTGCCGGATCCTGCGCGCATCGACCGCCGCTAGAAAGCGGACCGTGTCGCTCACCATATAAGGACCTCCCTGGAGTCCGGGCGATTCTTCAGTCGATGGACCATAACGCTGAGACCGGATCGGTGGGCCGTGCGGGACCGCTGACCGGCGCTGGGTACAGAGTACAGACCGTGTCCATCTGGGGCGGAAACAACCCCCCGCTGACCGCCAGCGCTCTGCTGACAATACCGGGAACTGTGCTGATGTCAGCGCTGAGGCTGAGAGCTGGTTGGGCCGAGCGCTGATAACTGTGCGCCACGTCGGCAAGAAGGAATCAGGTCGGAGACAGGTCGGGGTCGGGTCGGGGTCGGAAAGGGTTCAGGTCGGAGTCGGCCGGAGTCAGGTCGGAGTCAGGTCGGAGTCAGGTAGGGTTCAAGTCGTAGTCAGATCGGGATCTGGCTGGATTCAGTTCAGTTCAGGTCGCTTGGATGTGATAAACCTCAACTTGCTTGGTGCGGGTTGTTTGGACGCTTCTGGCGGGGGTAGGAGTGATGGGGAAGAGGCTGGATAAAACAGACCACACATGTTCACATGCCATTGCCGCAAAGTCGCTAGTCTATTGAACCGACCAATCCTCTCAGCAGACTACTGGCTAGCCTGCCGTTCAACTTACGGAGATTTGAGTTCACTGGAACCGTTAATGCTCGCTCACTGGCGAGAGAAGCGAGCACTATATCACTGACTTTGTTTATTGTTTCTATTACACACAGCTCAATCACTCGGAGCTAGGCGACTAACCCTCATAGTCAGGGGTGATGTGTTTCTGGCACATGGCAGGGATCCTATGGTTGTTGCCCTTCCCCGACCCAGTTAGCTAGACGCGGTCAGTACGTCTCTGTGGCCTGACATGGCCTGACATGACATATATGGAGCCGGATATTTAAGTAAACCAAGCATTTTTTCGTCAGTGCATTCGCATGTAAGGCCTAGGTTAAAATAAGGATATATATGTAATAACGGATAAACGTACCCGACATCGAGTCTGCTCAAGAATAACGATGGCTGCATTGCTACTGTGCTACATTCGAATCACGGTAAGGTTCACGGTTGTGCCTTGGCTTGTCATCAATCACCGTTGTTGCTTGTACCGTACCTGTCTCGAAACACCGATCACGAATCGCGGTCGTACCGTACCCTCCGGCCGGACCGGTTCCTCACGACTTCCAGATACATTCCGTGACCCTCCGAGGCGTTCTCACGGTGGGCAAAGCGGGTCGCTGGCCGCTAACGGCCCGCTATACGGAACTCACATAATTCCCTAGAGCTGTCCGAGTGCATGCAGTGCTGTCGTATTCACTTCCCAATGTTAGGATTCATATTTCTCCTCGCAAACGTAAGCGGTGAAATTGCTTTGTAATTTCATGGGTGGAACTGGTTCAGCTAAAAATGCTAGCGTGATGGAAGCGAAGAAAAGAAAAAGAAGTATCATACAAAAAAAATCAGACTTTATACTCGTACACAGTATGAGTACCTACACACATTATCGCTCGTCCTCAGCACTCTTCTCGCACTGGATTCTGAACTGCAGAGAATAATCGAACCTGTCCAGATGTCTCTGTGCACGCTCTGTATAGATGTCGCTCGCATTCACAAACGTCCAGTTATCATCCACTTGCATCCAGTCGTCTCGGCATGCACATTGCACAATAATTCAGTTTCTGTGAGTTGTTTTGTGTAGTTTATAGCATTGTCTTTCGCTACATTAATTTTGAATTGTTCTTCATTTCTTGCCAGTTTACTCTATGAATTTGGGCCCGAATGATTATTACTGATGACCGGTAATTTTTCAAGTTTTTTTTTAATCATCTTGAGAACGGAAAAAAAAATAGTTATGTCAGACGATAAGTGCAGAGTGGCCAGAGTTGGAATTTGCTATTTTAGTTTGCTAATTGCTATGTGCTTTTGTATTCGGACTTGGTGTGTTTAAACGCATTTCTACTGCTTACCTTTCCCATATTATCTTGCCCATATTTTACATGGAATCAGTTATCAGTCGGCAGTCGCCCGGACTCAGCCTCAGGTCAAGGTCAAGCCAGGACACAGGACAAGGTAGGTTGAGGTTTGACCTGAGCCATATCATATAATATAGCCCCCTATTTCCGTGCTTAATTCAAATATATGTTATCTACCAGTATTTGTTTTGTTAGCTTCATCGTTCAGCTAACTTCAGGCGGCATGACGGCGGTATATCACTTGTATCCCTTATGGGTTATGTCAATTGGTTTCCGCTGCGTATCGACTATTGGTTATTAGATACCTACCAGACCTGCGCGGTGTGATGCTGAGTGCCGAGTGAAAATGTCTTCTTTCATGAACATTGGACAAAGGCAAGTGACATCGCTCTCCGTCAGTTTGTCCCGCAGCTGCATCATCAATGTGTCGGTATCAGTTACGTTGAATTTCCCTGTGATGATGTCACAATGCTGCACTGCACTGAAGTGCCGGCTGGGCTTTTCTCTCCACACTGACGCTGTGCTCTAACAATCAGCAGCCGCATTTTCCGAAGCCGGTCGTGGTTACTGGCTACTGCGCTCGTTGCGGTGCTTATCGGGACTTCATCCGGCGGATCTTTTGTGTACAGAATATATGTGCTCACAAGTCACACCATTGGGATAGCCTGTGACGCTCATCCCCGCTTGACCTCATCTGCCCATTATCTGCCTACGCTGCAGGCCGCTCAATTCCCACCAGCCCCGCCTCCTCTCAAATCTACCGCACGTCCTTCCCCCGGCCCCGGCTATCCCGCTCTCCTTTACAGATCCCTCTGCCATATCGCTCGCTCAAACTACCGAAACTTCCCTCAGACTTCTTTGGCCCTTAGCTCTGGGTCTGGGCCCCTTTCGGGTTAGGACCCAAGACTATCAGGCTATCAGCACCATGGCCCAGTCCATCCTGCCTTCAAATATACCACAGGTTCTCTAGTAGACCCTTAGCTCTTCGACAGCCCCTGCCGGGCTTTTGCATTCCCCATGTCCCTTCCTTCGACTTTTACATTTCCATCTCGAGCACCGAGAGCCGAGCGGAGAGCCCGCTCGGAGCGGTCGGAACGGCGGCGGTTCTCTGGATGCCCGTCACGCATTGCTGATGTGTTATCGGCCGCTACAGAGCGGGAGAGGGGAGCTATGTTGCAATGGTGCGGTACTGCAGTACGGCCGCCCGCCTGTCAGTTACTGGTGCATGTTTGTTGTGCGTTGCAGACCGCCCCTCCCTCTGAATGTGTTTTGGTCTCGTATGCTGGTACAATATTGAAACGAGCAGGAAACGGCTCTTGCTAGTTGCTTGGGAATGGAAATTGGAACGTGATGTTTGCAATTTTTCCTTCTCCATATTACCGTATCTGTCAGTCAAACTGGTGATTTATAGGGGCAATATGTTTTTATTCGAAGCAGCATATCAAAATTGATGACCCGTTTGTTTTTCGGCCGATTTTGGGCTATCCCGGGTCACCTTTCTCCACGATAACTGCTGTTGACTGTTGAGTATGTTCATTTGCATGTTTTGCTTTGAACGAAGTGAATCAGATTATGAGTGTGACGACTGATGACCGAGTTTCGTTCCGCCGATTCATTCGCGGTCATCGGTCTGATTGTGCTGGATACGTCACTCGTTCTGGAATGTTCCGCTGCCACCGGCCCACCCCCACTCTGTTGTCGCAGATGTGGCTCAGCGGAGGCGTGGGCGACGCGCTACCGTGGGCGGAACGCTTCCTTTTTCCAGGAGTGACAAGATGACGTGATGGGAGCAGAGCTGCTGGTTTTCCATCTCCGGGCGGACTGGCTGAGTCGCTAAACCGGACGGTCTGACAGGTTCAGACTATATGTACCTAGCTACTGAGCCAAGCTCGAGCCTCGAGGGTTGGGCTTTGCAATGCACATGACTCCGAAACCTTCTCAAGCCCTCGCGGGTTGTTCATTCTTCCATTTCGCACAATCCCTATAAAGTCACGCCGTTTACCGTGGCGCGGTGATTTTCACTGGTGCGGCAGCTCCAGCCGAGAATACGGATGACGTCTGCTCTGGGTCGACGGTGAGTCAGTCGACGGGGCTAATTTTGGCCCGCGGCGCCGCGGGCTGGCGTCGCGCCGCCGTCGACTCCAGGGAGCTGGCTCAGTCTTGGCCTGCCCCGCGGCGGTGAGGAAGTCGGCTGAGAGCGGTGCTTCCAGTTGCGACGCGACAAAGGAGAGGAAAGAGGTAGTGGCCAGTGGGTGACCGCATTTTGAGCGAGGGAGGCAGTCGTAGGGTTAGTGGAAGAAACAGGTGGGTGAGGATGGTGATGCCTGCCGGGCCAGACTTGCTTTGTTTATTGCGCACGAGACGAGCTGCCTGGGTGGTAAGAGGTGAATTTTGGAAAGAAAGTGCCTTTGATGTGTCGATATTTGCCCGCATCAGATATTGGTTCATGACTTATGACTTCATTAAACATTGTCTTGCAACTTTCAAGTACATCCGGATATGCTTGATTGCTTTTGAGTGCATTTGATAGTGAGTGTTCTTATGCGCCTAACCTTCCAATGCATTTCTGATGTTTTGTTCTCTTTCACCTAAAGGGTCCAACCATCCTGAACAAATCGGTTCACCGTTACACCGATGCGGTTCCCGTCGGACCGGTTCATAAGCGTTTGACCGGTGATCTGGGTCATTGATCTGATAAGATCAGTCTAGACAAAGTGGCCATGAAGTGCCTTTGACGCGCTTCATCATGGTCTGCGATGATTCGACAGTTTCGACCGATCTCCGACGAGAGATCGTGGATATTGGCTGATGGTCAATGGGGAGATGTGGCGCTGGGATGTCACCGTTCTGGGATTCGTGACACTCGAGATCCAGTCGTGTTGCTGCTTGTGCTGATGTCGCTCAATCTCGTGCCGTTTTCTGTTCGTTGTGGCCCGCAATAGTTGAATACTTATTCCTCTCTTTCTCCGTCTTATTTTGTACTCGTATCGCTGCGCTGCGTCTTTTGGGCACATGTAATGAACTCACAAGGGACAAAGCGAAAGCTACTACATGTCCGTCAAGACAGCCCATATTCAGCCCAGATTCAGCCCGGATTCAGCCCAGATTCGGGACACCTCCGATCAAGCTGAAACTCGCACACAATGTAGGCCATGACATGCCCAATCCACAGTCCAAGTCATTCGGTGGCACTCCCAGCCGTTTGACCTACAGAGGTCAGCAAAGGTCACGTGACCCAAATTTGCACAGCAGATTGTGGCCCACCCAGTAGAGCTAGAGCGCTAAAAATGGCACCAATCGACTCGCCAGCATCTAATCTTACTTTCCCAACACTCATTTGCCCTCTCAAGGTCATGCGATGACCTAAGGTCATTTGTGGGCTATGTCGAAAATACACTTGCACAGCAGTTTTCGAGTAGATGGATTGACCGAATTCCAAATCAGAGCACATCATCGGGTAGCCCATAGGCCGTAGTAACTTTCCTTAAAAACCGCTTTTCGATACGTGACCCCGTTTGACCTCGGCAGGTCAAAATGTGCAAATAATCGACACTCAATACGTCGCAGCCCGGATTCAGCCCAGATTCGGGACACCTCCGATCAAGCTGAAACTCGCACACAATGTAGGCCATGACATGCCCAATCCACAGTCCAAGTCATTTGGTGGCACTCCCAGCCGTTTGACCTACAGAGGTCAGCAAAGGTCACGTGGCCCAAATTTGCACAGCAGATTGTGGCCCACCCAGTAGAGCTAGAGCGCTAAAAATGGCACCAATCGACTCGCCAGCATCTAATCTTACTTTCCCAACACTCATTTGACCTCTCAAGGTCATGCGATGACCTAAGGTCATTTGTGGGCTATGTCGAAAATACACTTGCACAGCAGTTTTCGAGTAGATGGATTGACCGAATTCCAAATCAGAGCACATCATCGGGTAGCCCATAGACCGTAGTAACTTTCCTTAAAAACCGCTTTTCGATATGTGACCCCGTTTGACCTCGGCAGGTCAAAATGTGCAAATAATCGACACTCAATACGTCGCAGCCCGGATTCAGCCCAGATTCGGGACACCTCCGATCAAGCTGAAACTCGCACACAATGTAGGCCATGACATGCCCAATCCACAGTCCAAGTCATTCGGTGGCACTCCCAGCCGTTTGACCTACAGAAGTCAGCAAAGGTCACGTGGCCCAAATTTGCACAGCAAATTGTGGCCCACCCAGTAGAGCTAGAGCGCTAAAAATGGCACCAATCGACTCGCCAGCATCTAATCTTACTTTCCCAACACTCATTTGACCTCTCAAGGTCATGCGATGACCTAAGGTCATTTGTGGGCTATGTCGAAAATACACTTGCACAGCAGTTTTCGAGTAGATGGATTGACCGAATTCCAAATCAGAGCACATCATCGGGTAGCCCATAGGCCGTAGTAACTTTCCTTGAAAACCGCTTTTCGATATGTGACCCCGTTTGACCTCGGCAGGTCAAAATGTGCAAATAATCGACACTCAATACGTCGCAGCCCGGATTCAGCCCAGATTCGGGACACCTCCGATCAAGCTGAAACTCGCACACAATGTAGGCCATGACATGCCCAATCCACAGTCCAAGTCATTCGGTGGCACTCCCAGCCGTTTGACCTACAGAGGTCAGCAAAGGTCACGTGACCCAAATTTGCACAGCAGATTGTGGCCCACCCAGTAGAGCTAGAGCGCTAAAAATGGCACCAATCGACTCGCCAGCATCTAATCTTACTTTCCCAACACTCATTTGCCCTCTCAAGGTCATGCGATGACCTAAGGTCATTTGTGGGCTATGTCGAAAATACACTTGCACAGCAGTTTTCGAGTAGATGGATTGACCGAATTCCAAATCAGAGCACATCATCGGGTAGCCCATAGGCCGTAGTAACTTTCCTTAAAGGAAAAGGGCCACCTTTAACATGGGGATTGAAACTGAGATAGCCATCTTGTAGCCCGTGTCCGAAAACCTTGCTGTCTACCTCCATACGGCCGATTTCGGCCTCCATTCGTAGTTATCGGCAATTTTAAAAGAAAATACGCCAGGAATGCGTCCTTATCCCAGGAATGCGTTCTTATCCGACAATACAGCCACCCGCGGCGAGGCTTTGGTTTTTTACCAATCAGCTCCAACCAGCTCAGCTTTAACCAATCAGCTTATCTGACACAATCCGACGAGTCTGTCTTCTGAACGCTGATTGGCTTGAGTGTGACGTCATCGCTATGCCATCATACAGTAGGTGCCGTAGAGAGTATCAACATAGTACCAATATGTTAAATAGTTTTAAATACTTTTTCGCGAATTGTGCACTTCTGGCACCAATTTTAAAAAGAAAATGAAAAATAATAATGTCAAAATGAAAAACAACGATATCTTCATATTTCACGAAGGTGGCCCTTTTCCTTTAAAAACCGCTTTTCGATATGTGACCCCGTTTGACCTCGGCAGGTCAAAATGTGCAAATAATCGACACTCAATACGTCGCAGCCCGGATTCAGCCCAGATTCGGGACACCTCCGATCAAGCTGAAACTCGCACACAATGTAGGCCATGACATGCCCAATCCACAGTCCAAGTCATTCGGTGGCACTCCCAGCCGTTTGACCTACAGAAGTCAGCAAAGGTCACGTGGCCCAAATTTGCACAGCAAATTGTGGCCCACCCAGTAGAGCTAGAGCGCTAAAAATGGCACCAATCGACTCGCCAGCATCTAATCTTACTTTCCCAACACTCATTTGACCTCTCAAGGTCATGCGATGACCTAAGGTCATTTGTGGGCTATGTCGAAAATACACTTGCACAGCAGTTTTCGAGTAGATGGATTGACCGAATTCCAAATCAGAGCACATCATCGGGTAGCCCATAGGCCGTAGTAACTTTCCTTGAAAACCGCTTTTCGATATGTGACCCCGTTTGACCTCGGCAGGTCAAAATGTGCAAATAATCGACACTCAATACGTCGCAGCCCGGATTCAGCCCAGATTCGGGACACCTCCGATCAAGCTGAAACTCGCACACAATGTAGGCCATGACATGCCCAATCCACAGTCCAAGTCATTCGGTGGCACTCCCAGCCGTTTGACCTACAGAGGTCAGCAAAGGTCACGTGACCCAAATTTGCACAGCAGATTGTGGCCCACCCAGTAGAGCTAGAGCGCTAAAAATGGCACCAATCGACTCGCCAGCATCTAATCTTACTTTCCCAACACTCATTTGCCCTCTCAAGGTCATGCGATGACCTAAGGTCATTTGTGGGCTATGTCGAAAATACACTTGCACAGCAGTTTTCGAGTAGATGGATTGACCGAATTCCAAATCAGAGCACATCATCGGGTAGCCCATAGGCCGTAGTAACTTTCCTTAAAAACCGCTTTTCGGTATGTGACCCCGTTTGACCTCGGCAGGTCAAAATGTGCAAATAATCGACACTCAATACGTCGCAGCCCGGATTCAGCCCAGATTCGGGACACCTCCGATCAAGCTGAAACTCGCACACAATGTAGGCCATGACATGCCCAATCCACAGTCCAAGTCATTCGGTGGCACTCCCAGCAGTTTGACCTACAGAGGTCAGCAAAGGTCACGTGACCCAAATTTGCACAGCAGATTGTGGCCCACCCAGTAGAGCTAGAGCGCTAAAAATGGCACCAATCGACTCGCCAGCATCTAATCTTACTTTCCCAACACTCATTTGCCCTCTCAAGGTCATGCGATGACCTAAGGTCATTTGTGGGCTATGTCGAAAATACACTTGCACAGCAGTTTTTGAGTAGATGGATTGACCGAATTCCAAATCAGAGCACATCATCGGGTAGCCCATAGGCCGTAGTAACTTTCTTAAAAACCGCTTTTCGATATGTGACCCCGTTAGACCTCGGCAGGTCAAAATGGGCAAATAATCGACACTCAATACGTCGCAGCCCGGATTCAGCCCAGATTCGGGACATCTCCGATCAAGCTGAAACTCGCACACAATGTAGGCCATGACATCCCCAATCCACAGTCCAAGTCATTCGGTGGCACTCCCAGCCGTTTGACCTACAGAGGTCAGCAAAGGTCACGTGGCCCAAATTTGCACAGCAGATTGTGGCCCACCCAGTAGAGCTAGAGCGCTAAAAATGGCACCAATCGACTCGCCAGCATCTAATCTTACTTTCCCAACACTCATTTGACCTCTCAAGGTCATGCGATGACCTAAGGTCATTTGTGGGCTATG